GGAGAACCACACTTGCTTCCAAACACTAAAACAGTGGTATTGAGTTTTAATGTTATCTAACTACTTTATAATCTTGTCTTGGTATTCTTAATGTATGGGAATGAAATTGTTGAGCATGAGAATCGAATTGAATTTAATTTATACTCTTCTCTTGGTTTTCTTAATTTATGGGAATGAAACTGTAGAGCATGAGAATTGTGAAAACGAGCCACATTTGCATGCTGAATAAGAGAGAACTTGGGCATGCTCCACTAAATGAAAAGCCTGGGTTGGATCCTTTCTGGAACAAATTAGTTGAAACCCTATGCATTGATATAGGTCATAAGATACTTATTAGTCCAACAATTCGAGTGTCTCATTTCCCTTTCATGATATTCAGAACTACCTAGAGTAATAACATGGTCCATTTAACCAATTATGCCTAGGAAAATGGTGTATAGATGCACGTTGTTGCATGGCTATTGCGGTATAACCCAACATGTTGCTTTCTAAAGGATGTGAAGGATCCAATGCCAAAGTAGAGCAGGAGACCACCTTTCAAGTTCAGAATGGCAAAATATTGGTTCTGAACCTATGCTTTGAGTTAGTTTATCTTATAGGTGACAGAGATGTCCTATAAGCAAAGAAATCAGAGCAACTTTGGAAACATCTCAAGGACATTCAAAGTTTAGATGGAATTTCTGAGCAAGGTTCTGTATGTATCATTGACAGTTCAAGGACGATACGTGAATCATCACTGGAGGGATTTATGGAATGGATTATTGTGATGTTTTGTCAGACTATCCACCTATTCATGTCATGAGTGGGCACAGGCGGAGTAAAGAATGCCCTAAGAAACTTTGAGCTTGCCATTGGAACATGAGGACCTACTCGTTCAAATGCTTATTTGAGTAAGCAAAAGATTTAAAGTTTGAAACTGGGCTTTAGAGGGGAGCTTTTGTCGCACTATGATCCAAAAAATCCTAAACTCTGAGTCATCTATTAGCAACTGCTCCAACACTCAAAGGGGCAACCATGGATGGATAGAATGAGGACCCGCCATTTCTAGCAGCAAGCGCCAAAGCAAGTTGTCTGCACTCAAAACCAGAAACCAGGAAGTGGTTTTCCAAGAAGGTTGCAGGAGCCTGATAGTTTGGAAGGAGAAAGCAATTGCTTACTTTCCCAAAAGTTTTTGACATGAAATGTCATGCAGCCTCTTCTGCCATTAGAAGACTAAAATAACTATTTGGGTAATACATGAATGCCTCCCATTGTGATCTTTGGCATGTCCCTTAACCTCGAGTCCTGCCCAGAGTTCTTCATGGAGACATTATCGCATTAGGCCCATCAATTGTCCAACACACTAGTCTTGAAGGAGTCTCTATGCTTGTGCTAGAAGTATCTGAAGGCGGTGGCCTCCCTTGCTTTCCTTTTTCCTCCAGTCATGTCATTGCTCTCAGATTTCCACAAATTGTGAGCATGACTAGATAGTTCAAAGTTATGTGTTAACTAAAGCGAAGTCTGTAATAAATGCAGTATGGTACATAGATATACAAAGAGGTAAATAAAATTGCTTAATTGTAAACAGTATCTTCTATATTAAGTACTGCAGTATACAATTTCGCAAGTGAAGCATATACTATTTCTTAATGCAAAGCATGTGTACTGTACATTGTTATTTAAAGAATATTATATGCATTTTTAGCTTTGAAAAACATTGTTTTATGTCAAAATTAAATACTGTTTTACTTTTGTATACAATATTTTGTGCACTAATACTTGTGCTACTTCTTAAAGTCGGGTACATATGCTTGTTTTCCATCAAACCACAGTTTTTCATTTTGACATGTTTCTATTATTATCAACACATGCTTTCTCATTGATTTCTTGGTTAGATATTCATAGCTTCCTTCATAAATTTGAATTCTTATTGTTATCTTTCAAATGTACTTGTTCAGAAAATATGATTTTCAAGTTGTCACTACTGTGTATGTTTTAATTAGGTTATTTAAAATTAGGATATATTTAGTTCTTTAACCTGATTTTTATTATGGGAAAGCATACAATGAGCACACTACATTTTTAGAGTGGTATTTCACAGACTCAGCTGCCAGATGTGATGACTTGGATGGTGTGAATTATTGTAGGAAAAATTTAGTATGATCATTGTATACAGTCCCTTACAAAAATAGTTCCTATTTTCACATGAGCCTGGGATGAAGGAAGATCATGGTTTTTTCCAAATAAACTCTTATCATTTTCTGGTGTTTTATGACTCAGACTCCGTTTCAGAACTTGTTAGGGTCCCAAGCCAAATCATACATGGTTCGACTTGGCTGAGTCTCAATGATAAAAAAGCCTAAATGGGCTGAAAAGTGCTGGACTTGGATGAGTCTCTAGATGTTCAATGGGACTTGCTAGGGAAACTGGCCTTGTTTTTAAACACTGATATCTTTTAATTGGATAGAATTTCACATGATTGTATCTTATATTGTGTGCTCTTTGTGTGTGTGATCTATGCTTTGTGTCCATCATATTTCACAGGTTCAATAGTAGTTTCTAATTACATGTGTGTTACACCCTTATAATTTTAATATTATAGTAGTTTGACGTTATGACTGTGAGAGACATACTTAGAATTATACTGTCCATTGTTTGATCCAGTGTTTCAAAAAGCGCTAAGTGGCACCTAGGCAGCTATAGGGGTCCAGGCCGCCCAATATCTAGGTGGACGCCTAGAACTTGGGCGGCCCAGTTGAAAAAAAAAAAAACCTGATGTCATGCCTGATATATTATAACGATTAATCCATAAGAATTTTGATAATTCATAAGACCATAATCCGTAAGACTTTTGATAATCCATATGACCATAATCCCAGTTGACAAAAAAAGAGATAGAAGTCGAGAAGAGAATTTTGATAATCCATAAGACCATAATCCATATTTTTATACAATGCTAAAACAGTAAACTGTAAAACCATACTTGCATACATTGACAGTTTGATACACGGTAGACTGTACATACAAAAGTTAGATAATAGAATTAAAAACTAGAACGTAGAAACTAAAAATAAGAAAAATATATACAAAAATTTAGAAACTATACAGTTTAGGACACAACAGTCAACACTCAACACAACAGTCAACATTGAACACCAAGAGTTTTCAGTCATCATCATCATCATCATCAAAAGAAATAGGGTAAACCTCATCATATGCATCAGATTCGAGGCCATCATCATCAGAGTCGTCTCCCTCTTCAATATAACGATTATCCTCCTCTGTTTCTTCCGAATCTGCCTCTTTCTCCTCCTCTTCTCCTATCTTCCTTTACTGGTACGTGCAGATGAGGCCCTAGGAGTCTTGGCTGTTGTACCTTTTTCTATCTTTTTGTGCTTCCCTGAACTCAAATATTGTATAATTTCTTCCCTGGTAGTCTCAAGAACATTTTTACATGGGGCAGCA